GTTACAAATAAGGAAAGGGAGAAACTAGGGAGAAACCTGAGGTGTTAGATTGGAATTGGAGGTATTAGTATAAACTCATGCTTTTATTTTTTTTTAACTTATCTTTATTGTTGAATGTATTACAGATGTCCCCTACTTTTACCCCCATTGACCTCCTCCTCCCCACTCCCACCCCTCTCTTGTCTTCCCTACACGATTATCTGTGTCCATTGGTTATGTGTATATGCATATAAGTTCTTTGGTTTATCTCTTCCTGCCCCCCCTTCCCTTTGTGGTTCCTCAGTCTAACAACCAATTTGTACTTCTTAATTCCTTCACCTTTTTCACCTATCCCCCAAACCCTCTTCCATCTGGCAACCAATAAAAAGTTCTTTGTATCTATGAGTTTGTTTCTGTTCTGCTTGTCCATTTGGTTTATAGATTCAATTGTTGATAGATATGTATTTATTGTCATTTTATTGTTCATATTTTTTTTTTTTTTATCCTCACCCAAGGACATTTTTCCATTTTTTGTTCAGATAGAGCGGGAGGGAGAGAGAGGAAGAGAGAGAGAGAGAAACATCGATGTGAAGGGACACATCGAGTGGCTGCCACCCGCACGACCAACCAGGGCCGGGGACAAACTGCAACCGAGGTACGTGCCCTTAGCGGGAACCGAACCTGGGTCTCTCTGTACCGCAGGCCGATGCTCCAACCACTGAGCCAAACCGGCCAGGGCTATTGTTCATATTTTTTATCTTCTTCTTCAAGAAGACCCTTCAACATTTCATAGAATACTGGTTTGGTGGTGATGAACTCCTTTAGCTTTTTCTTGTTTGGGAATCTCCTGATATGTCCATTGACTATAAATGATAGCTTTGCAGGATAGTGTAATCTTGGTTGTAGGTCCTTAATTTTCATCACTTTAAATATTTTTTGCCACTGCCTGGCCGGTGTGGCTCACTGATTGAGCTTTGACCCGTGCACCAAGAGGTTGCCGGTTCAATTCCCAGTCAGGGCACACGCCCAGGTTGTGGGCCCAATACCCAGAGGGGGGCATGCAGGAGGTGGCAAATCGATGTTCTCTCTCATCGATGTTTCTATCTCTCTCTCTTTTTAAAACCAATAAAGAAAAATTATTTAAAAATACAGTCGTCTCTCGTTTATTGTGGTTAATTCATTCCGGACTCTAGCGGTTGCACTTGGCATTGAAGGATTCCTGGGGTGCTCGAATACATAGGCCTACAGTCCATACGTACAGTAATTTTAATTGTAATTGTAATACAGGGGTGTATAATTGACTCAGACAACCGAGCACACGCTGTATCATTTTCACTGTCTCCATCAACTTTTTAATGAATGTATTTGAAAAAATTGCAATAAAGCGAAGCCACAAAAGTTGAAGCGCGAAGTGGCGAGTGACAACTGTAAATAAATAAATAACTATTTTTTGCCACTCCCTTCTGGCCTGCCAAGTTTCTTTTCAGAAATTGGCTGACAGTCTTATGGGAGCTTCCTTGTAGGTAACCAACTGCTTTCCTCTTGCTGCTTTTAAGATTCTCTCTTTGTTTTTAACCTTTTGCATTTTTATTATGATGTGTCTTAATATGATGGGCCTCTTGGGGTTCATCTTGTTTGGGACTCTCTGTACTTCCTGGACTTGGAAGTTTTCTGTCATTATTTTTTCAAATAGGTTTTCAATTTCTTGCTCTCTCTCTCTTCTCCTTCTGGCACCCTCGTGATGTGAATGTTGGTACACTTGAAGTTGTCCCAGAGGCTCCTTATACTATCCTCATTTAAAAAAAAAAATTTTTTTTCTTTCTGCTGTTCTGATTGGGTGTTTTTAGCTTCCTTATGTTCCAAATTGATGGTTTGCTTCTTGGCTTCACCTATTCTACTATTGATTCCCTGTAAATTATTCTTTATTTCAGTTTGTGCATCCTTCATTTCTGACTGGTCCTTTTCTATTGTGTTGATGTTCTCACTAAGTTCCTTGAAATTTTCATTAACATCCTTGAAGTTCTCACTAAGCTCATTGAGCATCCTTTAAGCATTGTTTTGAACTCTGTATCTATTAGATTGCTTATCTCCATTTCATTTAGTTCTTTTCCTGGAGTTTTGTTCTGTTCTTTCATTTGGGACATGTTTCTTTGTCTCCTCATTTTGGCTGTCTTCCTGTGTTTGTTTCTTTGTATTAGGTAGAGTTGCTATGACACCTAGGCTTCCTAGGGTGGCCTATTGTAGTAGGTGTCCTGTAGGGTCCAGTAGCACAGCCTCCCTCTTCACCCCAGCTGGGCCCATGATGTGCACCCCTTGTGTGGACTGTACCCTTTTCTGCTGTAATTGAGTCTTGATTGCTGTTGACACATCAATGGTAGAGATTTACTTAGGCCGATCACCTGCAAGGACTGGCTGTGTGCACTGACCACTGGCCTCTGACTACCTTGGAGGATCAGCTGTGCAGGGGCCCACCACACAGAGCAAGGCTAAATTCAGCAGGGTTCTGGTACCCACTGAGTCCATTCCTTGAGTGTATTGCTTGTGGAGGTGGTTGGTTAGTGGTGCCTCACTGTGATCTGAGGCTGTCCACTGGGTGTGCTGGCTTTGGGGCAAGGTCAGCCACTGTCTGTGTTCTGCCTGGGGCCACCAGGCATAAGCTACAAAGCGACCTGCAGATGGCTGCTTCTTGTGCTGGGCTTGGAGGTGCCCTGGCAAAACCAAGTTGTGAACAAACCTGGCTGCTTCTAGTGCCAGGCCTGGGGCCACTTAGTGAGAGGTGTGGGGCTCACTGAGACCAGATGCTGCTTGTTTGAGAGAATTTAGGAAAATCTGAAGTAGGAGCCAAGACAGACCATTCCTGTGGTAAAGCCACTGGAAATAGCTTGGTGGGCCTGGAAGTTGGGTGGGGCAGTGCCTCAGGGAATCACCAAGATGGAGTCAAACAGTGTGAAGCAGGTTGCTGGAGTCCCAGATATAGTGGCCATCAGCCTGCCCTATGAGGGAAGGGCTCACCAAAGGAATAATGGCCTCCACCAGCATGTCTGTCCAGGAGAAACCTGCCTCTCCAGCTCTTGCCCCGATGCCAAACAACTCATTTCTTCCCTGTAGGTCTCTGGTGCCTTTCAAGCTGCTTCCCCCATCCTGGAGCCTGGGGGAAGCTGGTCCGAGTAAGTCTGTGCTCGGGCCCTTTAAGAGGAGCTGCCTGGGACTCCAGCCGCCTCAGCCTCAGTTCCCTCTGGTTTTTACAGCCAGAATTTACAGTCTTCTCTTCCTGCACTGGAACCCTGAGCTGGGGACCTGGTGTAGGACGGGGATCCCTCACTCCTCAAGGGGGATCTTCACAGCTGAGTTATCCTCCTGATTTTATCCACCACATGTGGGTGTGGGACCAGCCTGTCTGTGCCTCTGCCCCTCCTACCAATCTCCATGTGGCTTCTTTTTTAATTTCATAGCTGTAGGACTTCCATTCAGCTAGATTTCAGGCAGTTCTGAATGATGGTTATTCTCTAGTTTAGTTGTCAGTTTGATGTGGTTGTGGGAGGAGGCCATACCGTATTTACCTACTTGCCATCTTGACCGGAAGTCCCTCTTTTTCTGAACTCATGCTTTTAAAATATATCTATCCATTTATATACACAGAAAGATAGACATAGCTGTATGCATGTGTGTATGTTTTTGTGTATATATATTTTTTGTCTGCAAAAGGGCTTAGAAACAATGACATCCCAAAAGGAATGAACAGTCAAGCCTCCAATCTTGGTTTTTAAATCCTATATTTCACCAAATGAAGAATTGACTGATTCCAAGGCTGGGGCTAGGGAAATTAAAGATGAACCTGGAACATGTTGTGTCTTTGCTCGAAGAATGATGGGGTCATATCAAAAGGACAGATGAGCGGAGCCTGAAGGGCCTCCCACAGGCCAAATCTGGGACAATTTAAGCATTAAAGTAAATAATGATATGAGTGAATTATATTTTATTGAATAAAATAGAAATTTATAAGACCATGCTGATGAATGCAAAATGAATAAATAAATGGGAAGAAGAGAAAGCTCTTCCCAACAGTAGGATGCTAACCAATTGGTAATTATCAGAATAGTGGCTAATTCAGGCACGACTCAGCAATGGATGCTCAGGATGTCTCGTCGCAAAGTATTTATCAATTAAAAGGAAAAAATTAGTCAATTTATGGTGACAGAACATGGCAGACACCTTGATGGGGTGATCAAGGTTAACATCACCATTGGTGGTTCAGGTCAACATCATGTATCTCCTGATGTGACCCACTGAGAAAAGCCCACATCTTTTCTAGAGTTCCTGCTAAGAGGACACAACCTGGGTCTGGACATGAGGAAACATTGGACAGACCCAGGTTGAGGGACAGCCTACAGAATGAAAAGGCTTCTAGTCTTTGAAACTGTCAAGGCCATTAAGACAGAGCAAGAGAGAGAAAATGCTCTAGAAGAAGAATAATGCAGGTGGGAATATTCATAGAAAGAAAGAGGATGATGGAGCAAAGGTGAGAAAAGTTATCAAGTAGGGAATCTAGTTGAAGGAGATACAGAACCTCTTTGTTACTGCTCTTGCAATTTTTATTTCAAAATGAATTTTTAAAAAGTTGTGCGTGTATCCATCAAGTTTTCCTGGTAAATGTATATATGAACATATGTGTATGCATTTATCAGAAAATGAGGTCCCAACCCATACGGGTTAAATCTGAATTTTGGAGATTGGTACCTAAGGGGATTAAAACAAACAAACAAAACTCCCCAGGTGATTCCAGTGGGCAGGCAAATTTGAGAACCAGGGCTGCCTGTAATCCAGTGTTCGCCTTAATCACCGGTGCAGCCTGTTAAGAACAATTCCTGGAGCGGCTTCCGGAGCGTGGGACCTGGTTTGCGTCGAGCCGGCCGGGCAGTGGGCGCAGGTGGTCCGGGCCCCGCCCCCGCGGCCCGCGCGCCGCGTGCGGCCCAGGTGCCCCGATGAAAGGCCGGGACGGCCCTTGGGCCCCGTGCGCCGCCATGGACGTCGTGCCCGGCTTCCTGGCCGCCCCGCCGGCCGAAGTGCTGGAGGATGTGCTGCGGGAGCAGTTCGGGCCACTGCCCCAGCTGGCCGCTATCTGCCGGCTCAAGCGGCTGCCCTCGGGCGGCTACTCGTCCACCGAGGACCTCCAGTTGGTGCTGGAGCGGCGGCGCGTGGCCAACGCCAAGGAGCGCGAGCGGGTGAGCGCCCTGCCCCGCGCGGGTCCCTCGGGCCCCCGGGCTCGGCCGCCCCGCGACCCCGCACCGGGACGGGAACGGCTTCCTCCCCTCTCCCCACCCGCTACCCGGCTCTGCACACCTGGTCAGGCCCCGGAGCACCGCTCGCCGCCCACCCGCGGGACCGGGGCGACTTCGGCCTCTGAGGGCCGGCTCGCGTCAGTGACAGTGGCCTCGTTACCCTCCGCCCTGGTCCAGCTGCCCGTTCGCCGCCGCTGGGATGGCCACCTCACGTGCTAACCCACCTGGACTTGTGCACGAACCCGTCTGGGGAGAGCAGAGGAGACCCCCTAACAACTTCAAAAATGTCTCCCCTTGGCAGGTGCTTTTTCAAAGCTCAGGGCACGGAGTGGGCTTCAGTCTCACAACCCAGTGCGCTGGGCAGGTGCTTGGGGCGCACAGGGCTCTCACCACCCCTTTTCCCTGGGCTCTGCGTCTGTGCCTCGGAGCTCAAATGGGGAGAGCGGGGCCTAATGGAACAAAGCCCACGACGCCCCCGTGTGCACCCAGACTCGGTTGACCCCCAGCCGAGAGAGAACGTGCCCAGTGCGGGTCAGGCGGGTTCGCGCTAACGCCAGCCGGAATGGTCCCGTGGGCCGCAGCAGGAGCGGCATCTACTGGTAGCTCTTAGTCTTTCGAACTAGACTCGCGCCGAAACTTGGCAGATCTGGTCTCCTGTGGTCCCTTTGCAATCTGTGGGTGTTGGGCTGCAGCAGAGGAGGATCCCAGAGAGGGACGGGTGAATGGTGGAAGGGGCAGGGGGGACATTTAGGCTGGGGTCTGAGAAAGAAGTTCTACTAGGGACTGTTCCTGCACACCCGGGCCTCTTAGAAATGTAGCTCCAGTGAATCAACCAGGAGTTTTGTCTGGGAAACGGTGTGTGGAAGAGTAGATTTAAAGGCAAGTTGGGAAAAGTTGATGTGGGGTGGGAAAGGGTTTGCTATGTGAATATATTGGTTTTGCACTTTAGTGGGAGCCAAGTCTTTCAGGACCTGTGTCCTGGGGGAAGAGGGGGGTGATCATCAGAGTTTCAGGCTTTGGTGCTGAGGAATTAGACCCTGGAAATTAAAAAAAAAAAAGGCATCTCATTCTACCTTTCAAGTTGCACCAACATGCTGACTCTCTGGATTCTAACACTTACTATAAATCATCAATTCAGCTGGGCAAGAAGTTGAGAGTTATAACAAAAAAGCTACAAGGTGGGTGTTTTTTCACTTTGCAGATAAATAAATCAAAGCTTGGTGATATGAAGTATCTTACATACTCTTGTAAAGCTAAATGGTAGAGATGGACTTTAAATCCTGTTGTGTTGACTCAGCTTTTAGACAGTCCCCCTACTGCCTCTACATCACAGTGCAGTGGGTGTGTTCTCAGAGGAGAGGAGGGGAACCCCAATACTGAGTTGATGTCACTCTGCCTCCCCTTCCTTGCCAGGGCTCACTGCCGGTGGAGCGGTGATTCTTTGGCATGTGTCTGCTTAGATTCCTCACCCAGAGAAGAGCTGTGGAAGTGAACCTTCAAAATCCCCTCCTGTGGTTTGGGGGATGTCTGTATAAATTAACTTCTTTGTGTCTCACTGTGCCCTTTCGTTTTCCAGATAAAAAATCTCAATCGTGGTTTTGCCAAACTGAAGGCATTGGTGCCATTTCTTCCTCAAAGCAGGAAACCTAGCAAAGTTGATATCCTTAAAGGTGCAACTGAATACATACAAGTTCTCAGTGATGTTTTGGAAGGAGCCAAAGACTCTGAGGTAAAGGTTTAGGATGTTAGAATGATTATGTCCATCATTTATTGAGCCCTTTGTATGTGCCAGTCAATTTATGTATACATTCCAGTTAGTTTATAACAATCCTCTGAGTTATTTACAGTCCTCATTTTACAGAGGAAGAAAATAAAATACAGTTAGAGGCCACACGGTTAAGAAATATCAGGAATGGGGACTGAGTCCAGGTCTGTGTGAGATTTGGAGACAACTTCCATCTATATACTCACCTCCTGTCACTGTCCAGGGCCCCAAGCTCCTAACCACTGAATCTCTAACAGGATCTTAACAGCTGGGTCATGAGAGGAGGTTTCCATAAACCCACACTATGGTGGTGGCGTCTCTTCAGCAAGAAAAATATCAGGCCACAGAAAGGAAGAGGCATTTCTATCCCAAAGGGATCTCCCTTGGGAGAGGCCCTCCCTAAGGGACAACCCTGCTGGAGAGCACAGCAGTAGTCTGGTGATACCAATCAAATGACTTTCCTTGCAAACTGTGAAGCACCATAGTGTCACCACTGTTATCAGGGTGCACAGCTCAGGAGTGTCCATTAGGCAGTAGAAGGTGTGGGTTGGTTTTATGGGCTCGTTCCATGGAGAGGCAAACCTTGAAGGCCTGAAAATGGGTTAGTCAGCAAAGGAGGTAAAAAAATGACGAGAGGAAAGGCCTTAGAAATGAGCCCTAAGTGATATCATTGACAGGAAGGAGGAGCCATTAGAGAGAAGGTGGCAGGAAGGTGGTAGAGAAGCAAGATGGATCCTAAAGTCAGGAATGGGAGAATCATGAAAATGTGAGGGTGGGAAGTAGTGGGGGCTACAGAGAGGCTGGGAAAGGCACTCAGACCCAGCATTTGAGATGTGGAATAGGAATGGGCTGGAAGCCAGCTGGCAGGGGGTTGCGGGTGTGCTATTGCTAAAAATCTGGAGTCTAAGCAGAGGGAAGTGGCAAACTTCAAGTCCATTCAACTTGGAAGTCTGATTCTTGAAAGAATTTTTTTTTTAAAGGAAGAAGAAAAGGTCTTTTCCAAGTAGCAGTGGGACCATGTTTAGGGACAGAAGAGAAGGACAGCTACTAGAAAAGAAACGCTCATTCTAGAAACTTAGGGCAGAAATAGCCAGGTGTATAATTATAGTTTTTATGGTGTTTTTTCCCTTGTATACTAGTTCTACTTAGGTGACTAAAGGGAGGATACATTCTGCAGTGGTGGGAATGGATTGTCCTATTGGCCTCATTGGATGGTTGCATTTAGCATGGTCATAGTGTTTGTAAATGTGCAGGTGGCTGCCTTAGTTTTTTTCTTGCATGTTTGTTGTGTAACAGAAATGCTTTGTTTTGTGCTGTATTCATTAAAGTACAGGATCTGTTCCATGTTGCTATAATCTTTTTAATGCAGCTGCCCATTACACAACATTTTAAGGTTATAGATGAACAAAATACAGCATACTGAGCAATGGTTTTTCTCTCCATAACTTAAGCACTTCCCTTATCACTTAAATGAAACTTTATCTGTTACAATTTTGAAATATATTGATTTAAATCTTCAAAATCTGACTGTTATGCTATTTGACAACTAAATATGGTTTCTAGAAACAAGACCCAGATCATCAGAACTATATCAATATTTCTGAACCACATATATCCATGGCTAAAGAGCTGTTGAGAAACAACACCCAACATGCTAGCTGTGCTGTGGGCTTGAAGAATGAGGAGAAAGGGCCCTGGGCAGATGGCGGCAGTGACGAGTACGCCTGTCGCCAGAGCATGATGTCTGCAGCTGGAGTTATCTCTCCAACCAGGAGTCTGGTAAAGTGTTTCTCTTAAATTGCAATATAGATATCAAAAAATTCAGAATGCTCCCCCTGGGGGTATGGTATTTTCATGCTGAGCCATGACTGAAACAAGACCATCTTGTGAAAGCACCGAGGTGGAGTTTGCTAGTTTGAAAGATCTATTATTATGTCCCCAAATTAACTGGTAAGCAGCCCAAGGGGAAGGCAACGCCTCCAGAATCACTTATCATAGACCTAAGCTTATTTTTTACCCTAATTAATACATCAAAAGGTTTTCTGGATTCTGAAGTCTCTAGAAAAAGAAATAAGTACTCGATTGCCATACATAAAGCTGCATGGTGATAACATATACAAACATGTACACACTTGCGTGTGCACGCACACACGCACTTTTAAAAAAAGTTGGCCTTGTTATAAGGCAGCATTTTCTCAGTAATAACAAAGGAGTTTATTGTAGCAGCTCTTATATTCCGCCAAGCTAACGAAGCCACTCGAAATAGCAGCCTGCTTCTCCAAGTCTAGAAAGTAGATTTTTGGCCCTTGCTGTGGCTCAGTGTTACACAAATGAGACCCCTCGTTCCAGCCTATAATACGATTGCTATCAAAATAAGAGAGACTTGTTGGGATCTGGAACTAAACGCACTGTAACAAGCAAGTTGCTCAATCTGATGGAAGGGACAGTGGGGCTGTGGAGGAAGGTGCACGTACAGTTCAAAGAACATTTTTCCTGCCCCATTTGAGAGTAAGTTGCCAAGCTGATGCCCCATTTGCCCCTTCTTCTTGCCCTTGGGGTAGATCTGAGGAGTGGACTCCTGATGCTGGCAGAGATGGTCACATTTGGGGATTAGATGATGGGGTCAGAACAGGCTGTGCAAGATCAGCAACATTCCTGAGAGGCAAAATCCCAAACAAAGTACATGAGATTCTGCTGATGGCCGGGATGGAGATTAACTTCCCGGGCAGGCTGAATAGGTCCACTTGGGGACCAAATCAGCAAGTTCATATGTGGATGGAGAGGGTAGTGGGCCATGTGAAGCCATAGCATTTGGCCTTGGTGGGGGTAGGGATTAATGTCAAGGTCTAGGTGAGGCTCATTTAGAATTAGATTTCCAGGTGTAAGAAGCTGTTTTGGGATTCGGCATTGCTTGGTGGCAAGATGGTCAATAAACCACCATTGCTTTCTCTTTCTGTTTGTCACCAGTGGCTATGACTTTGGCATTTCACATCACAAAAGGCTCTGAATTTTGTTCAGAGTTGCCTGTGATCCTGTGGAGGTCGTGTCCCTGGACAAAGGCCACCCTCAGTGCTAGAATGAGGTGCCAGTTGTGCTGGGTCAGAGGGGCTCTGGAGAGAGATACATGGGTAACATAGTGTCTATTATGAGGCCAGGATGTGTTGCCACCATACACTTCTAAACTGTGGCCTGTCCTGGCGGCGGTCCTGGGAAAGAGTTTTGGACAGAAGGAAGCTTGTATGTGGTGGATTGCTACTACCTCCTCTGCAGGTTGTGATCATCTCTGTGTAAAATTAAGCACTGGGGACATTTCTTCTAATGGCAGTCTAAGCTCTGAAATGAGATGGTTTGGCTAATAGGGATGACTTTATAAGCACCCAGGGAAAGCCCAGAGGCATCTATCTACTCTCTTCCCTCTCACATTTCCCCCAGGCAGTGGCTGTGTTATAGCAAAACTCCTAACACAGCAGGGGGTGGGTCTAGGCTTCTCCTTGGGAAGCACTTTGTCTGCTGCAGTCTTCACTGGTAGCCTCGGGACCATATTCTGATAAGATTATCCAGCAAACCATTTTTTAAGATTGAACTTCCCTTTTTTTGTGTGGTATGTGCCCCTAGCAGAAACCGAACCCGGGACTCTGGTCCGCAGACTGACGCTCAACCGCTGAGCCAAACTGGCAGGGCTGACCTTCCCTTTTGATGGAGGCAGGTGTTCTCTGGTTTGTCAGTCCCCACCATCTCTTATTACCTCACCAGTTTAGGCATTTAACTTTGCAGCCCCGGACCAAGAGCACTGTGGCTCAGACGGAAGGTTGTGCCGCCGGTGGGTGCGTTCGGCTCCAGGATGTTATTGTGCCTTCTGAACTTTGGGGGTTTAGGGCTTGGTCCTGTGGAGATACGATGCTGGTCATTCTCTCTGGAACTTGGAAAAGGTGAGATCTAGGACATGCAGGGCGGGATCCATCTAACTCTGGAGGGATGCCCCATCTGAGGGAGGATTCCGCAGGATGCAGCTACTCAGGAAGACTCTTAAGGCCAAATCTGATTAAAATTTAAAAAAAAAAATCTTAGAGGAAAGACATATTTCCATTTCTTTGTGAAAATAAGAGAGGGAGTTCTTTTGTTGAAACTTTTGGTTTTTCTATGGGACAAAAGGTTGAATGAATCATGAAAGTGGGTTTTGGTGTGTTGTGTGTACATGCATGTGTATGTGTGTGAAGCTTGGTGTGTTTGGCAAGATCTCTACCTGGTTTGTGCTCCTAACCCTGTCAATGAGTATAATTTGAGAAAGCCAATAATTTCTTTTCTATTTCTCTGACGTGTAATGGGTCTTGTGGTTAAATTAATTGAAATAAGTTCTCATCTATTCTAATGGACTTCTTGTAGGAATATTTTTGAGTTTTATAAAAGGTTCCACATGTATATAGAGGAGAATGGCAAGAATTGGATGGGAGGTTCCCTCAAAGGTCAAGGCAGGACTTCTCTGATGTCCACTGACCTTCCTTGGACAGATGGCTCTTTGGGTTAGCAGAAAACCAAATGCTAGGACCTCCTAAGCTAGCACCTGGGGGTGGGGGTGGGGTCAGTGTGTCCTTCAAACCTTCACCCTCCACCTTTTCCTCTTATTTTAATCCTGGGTTATCCAGAACAGATCAGTAAAATGGGCTCCAAAGACACAGTATTCGAGGCAGAGCTTTTAGTAAAGGGATTTAAATACAACTCAATTATTTTTAGGAACTCTTCTGGTCCTCTTTGATCACTTTCTTCCTTTTTGGAAGACTTTTTCTTCCAGGAATGTGTCCTTCCAACAACTCTGTTGTAGAAGACGAGCCTGAGGCGCCAGATTCACTGGGAGTGCTCCAAGATGAGAGGGACCGAGTCCCCTGCACCATGCAGTTTGGACCAGGTCCCCAAGGGAAGAGAGAGACTACATGGGCTTGGTGGCAAAAGCCCTACCCATTATAAAGGAAATTAATTTGCTGAAAGATTATCTGAATGGCTCTTCCTCCAGACATGAGACGGCGAGGCTGTGGCCGCAAGCTGGAATCTGCTCTGAGTCCTGGCTGGACTTGCTGACACTGAAGCAGGATTGACAATTATGAACACAATTTAGACGGGAAGAAATATAACTTTACTTTCTACAACGTACTCCGCTTGTCCTTGAGAACCCAGTAAGACCGTCATGACTCAGGTGGTGGGAAAACTGTTGATCTTGTCCCATTAAGGCTCATCATCATCTTTGAGTAAATACAGAATCAATTCAATGTTAAGAATCCCTATGGGGGCTCTTTACTTCTTAAGCCATCTTCCTCCTCCCCCACCCCCTCCTCCTCCTCCAGGTTCAGTGAGGAGTGTATGTTTGTACTGTAGAGACTGGAATGAAAACACTCATGTGTTTTCCCTCCTCTGACCCCAGCTAGTGCTCTGGCCCCCAGTCTTGGGTATATTTGAGCTGACATCTGCTGTGAGTGTCCATGGCCCCACCACTGTGGCTCTCTTCTCCAGGCCAGACTTGCTGGACCTTCTGCATTCAGACCCCAGGCCTCTTCTGGTCTCCCTGGCTTTGCCACTTTCAAATGGACTATGAGGCTGTCCTCAAGCTCATATATCTGGTGATGTCCCCCAGCCGTGTGGTCACTAAACAACTCTGAGAGGCTATGCCCTGAAAAATAGGTGCAAATCTTTCTTTTGTTCAGATTCTGCTTTAAATTTCTTGGTTTCTATTACCTTATGTAACTCCCCCCCATCCCTGGTCAAGGCCCAGGATGTCACAGTCCAGGAGCCCTTCCCAGGGACCAGGAAGCTTCTACGCAGTAGTGTCATCCCCGCTGAATAATTATGTCAGGCTCTTTCAACCTGCATCTCCATTTCTGGTTGCAGGAAATCTTTCCACATCATATCTTACCTCTTCCCTGCTCTGTGGCTACCTGATGAGCAGCCATCGAAGCTCTGGCCCAACAGAACCCACATGTTTATTCTCTCTTTCAACTAAGTTGGCTTCTTTCAAACAAGAGTCTTGCTTTTCAGACTCTTATTAAGCTGGGAACTGAATTGTAAAGCTGAGTGAGCGAGGACTTCTAGTTGGTCTGTCTACCGCTGCTACCCATCCCAAGCCTTGACTCAGGGGATGGAGGGAAAAATACCTTGGATAATATGTCAAATTATCCAGTTACTGAACAACAACAGGAGTGCACCTGCCTTAGTAAAAGAGTTGAACTGCAAGCTGGGTTTCTACTCCTCAGACCATACTCTTCTTGGTCCTTGAACCCCTTGACTTAGATGAGGCCAACTTAGTTGAGGCATTTTTTAATGAACTATGAGAATAAGACAACATTAATAAACATTAACTTTTCATATTCTGATACTTAAATATTACCTTCCTGGAATTTCCCTGGTAACTCTTAAGACAAAAACAAACTAAGACAATAATCTATAATATACTAGACTAGGCTGATAAGATTAAATTATCCTCTAATCCTATAGGTAAACACAACAATACATGAATTTGTCTGTTAGGTTTAAAACATTCTAGATATGTAAGAACTTAAACACTTTTAGAAAAAAATATCTGATGATAAATTTTAACTCAAGAAAGCTTGATCATATGTATAGTGAAAAGGCTTAATCAGGGTCAGGAAAAGAAGAAGTTAATTGATACTTAGGTCATATCAGGCACTGTTCCTGGCAGATTACACCTATTAACCCATTAGTTTTTGTAACCATCTTGGGATGTACAAACAATCATATCCATTTTCCATGTCAGGAAACTAGGGACAGAAGTTGACAAAACTTGCCCAGTATTCAGTGAGTCAATGGGATGTGGGTAATAGTGTTAAATCTTTTAACTACCTTTTATCCTGATAAAACTCACCCTGGAAAATGTGCATGAGAGTGCACTAGGAAATAGATAAATTTAATTTAAATTAAAGCATTTGGTATTTTATTATCCACAGTGATACACATCTGAGTTCCAATATATAAACTGCCTGACGATAATTTGAGTGACTTTAGTTTTTTAGTCATGCATTTGTTTTTTTCTTCCAGTTGAGATTTCAGAAAATTGAGAAGATGCAAAATGATCGTAGCAAAACCACTGATGGAAATATTCTAAAATGCTTCCAAATATTTTTCCTATACAACTGAATTAAGAAATTATCATGGGATAGATAACATTGCATGTTATTTTATTTTATTTTATTTTATTTTATTTTATTTATTTTTTTTGCCTTATTCTATCATTGACATCTTTAGAGGTTAATATATAGTTTTATTACAAGTTTTAATGGCCCATTAAGTGGAACAATTTTCTAATTGTCGGACATTTAAGTTGTTTTCAGGTTTTTGTTCTCATAAACATGGCAAATAACCTGTTGTGTTTCGCTCTTTCTGTACTTTTCAAAGGATAGATTTCCAGAAGTAGAACTCCTGAGCCACGGTAGGTACAATTTATGATTTGCTGCATGGTGCTAATTTATAATACCATCAGCTAGTAAGAGTGCTGAGTTCATTATGTCCCTGCCAAAATTAGAATCTATTAAAATGATAGAATTATAGTGGGTAAAAATGGTGTCTCTAAATTCAAACATTTGATTACTGTCTGTTCTTATCTTTAGCCATTTACAATAAACTCTCTTCTGTGTTTCAGGTTCTTCAAAGTATGAGAAGTGAAAAAGCTGGTCCATGCCTATATTCTGCAGACAAATAAATGCAGTTTTTAAAGTTTGGAATCTTAAAAAAAAATTTTGTGATAATTTAAAGTTTATAATTACCATTAAATGACCTTGCTTATTAAAAATCTATTCAACTCTTGTTTGATGATTTGTTTGATGATTTGATGATTATGACAGATGTGAGGTGATACCTCATTGTTGTTTTAATTTGCATCTTTCTGATGATTAGTGATGTTGAGCATTTCTTCATATGTCTCTTAGCCATTTTATGTCCTGTTTGGAAAGGTGTCTATTTAGTTCCTCTGCCCATTTTTTAATTGGGTTCTTTGTCATCAAACAAGTGTTGGTGAGGTTGTGGAGAAAAGGGGACTCTAGTACACTGCTAGTGGAAATGCGGACTGGTACAGCCACTATGGAAAACAATATGGTGTTACCTTAAATAAAAAATTGAAATGCCATTTGACCCATGTTAGGAATATACCCTAAGAAGCCTGAAACACCAATTAGAAAGAATATATGTACCCCCATGCTCATAGCAGCACTATTTACAATAGCTAAGATCTGGAAACAGCCCAAATGTCCATCGGTAGACGAATGGATAAAAAAGCTGTGGTACATATACACAGTGGAGTACTATGCAGCTGTAAGAAAGAAAGAGCTCTTATCATTTGAGACGACATGGAGGGACCTGGAAAGTATTATCCTAAGCGAAACAAGCCAAGCAGAGAAAGACAAGTATCATATGATTTCACTTATTTGTGGAATATAATGAACATAACAGTCTGAAGAACAGGGTAGTCCAGAGATGTGGAAGTAGGGTACAGACTGACAATCCCCAGAAGAGGGGTGGGGAGAGAGAAACCACAGAACTTATGTGCATGTATGCATAACCAATGGACATGGACAACAAAGCTGGGGAGAGGGTGGGGGGGGTGTCAATGTGGGAAAAAGAAACATCTGTAACATAAGTAAACGCCCCCCCCCCCAAAAAAACCAAAATTATCACCTTAACAAAAAAAAATCTATTCAACTCTCTACTTTTATACTTTGAAGAAGTAGGCTTCAGGGCCTTCAGCCTTCACTCTTATTCCTCATGTTCTCCAGAGGTTTCTGTCCTCTCATATCCTACACCTAATATCTTTCATTCCATCTGTCTTCATCACTTGAGGAATAAGTGACTGTTACCCTTCCTGGGGAAATTAAGCTTCAAGAAGAATACAAATTAAAGCTAGAAGAATGTGGAGTTGTAACAATTGGCCAATGGGAGTGAGAATTTTCAGGGTTACCTCAATACCCAGCTAAGGCCATATGGCCCCTTTGTGTAAGTGAGACACCCAAGCACCTTGAGCATAGAGACAGTCTTCATCTTTAAAACAGTTGCTCAAAAAGACATAGCACTTAATATATGCTGGGCTCTCTTCTCTATGTTATCTGTCTTAACTTTTCTCAGAGCTGTCCTCTTAGGTAGCCATGGCTATCCCTGTTTTACCAATGGAGAAACAGAGGCACAACACACATATTAGTCAGGTTGGGCTGCTATAAAACATACCGTAGCCTGGGTGGCTTAAACAACAGAAATCTATTTCTTCAATTCTGGAGACTGGGAAATGTAAGGTTAAGGACTGGAAGGCTTGGTTTCTGGTAAGGATGCTTTTCCTGGATTGCAGACAGCTGCCTTCTCTGTGGCTTCCCGTGGCAGAGAGAGTGTGAGTGAGCAAGCTCGGGTCTCTCTTATAAGGGCACTGATTCTATTGAAATAAGGTCCTGCCCTTATAACTTAATTTAACCCTAATGTTCTCCAAATAGTCACAATGGGAATTAGGACTGCAATGTATGAATTTGGGGGGACACTTCCAGTCCATAACATTCTGCTCCTGACTTACCCAAATTTATGTCCTTACCACATGCAAAATACATTCATTCCATTCCAACAGCCCCAGAAGTCTTAACTCATTCCAGCATCATCTCTAAAGTCTGAGGTCCCAAGTCTCATCTAAGTATCTAAATCATTGTGGGGAAGACTCTGGGCATGATTCATCCAGAGGCAAAGTTCTTCTCCAGCGGTGACCCTGTGAAACCAGACAAGCCATGTTCTTCCAAAATTCAATGGTGAATAGGCAGGATAGATATTCCCATTCCAAAAGGGAAATAGGAAAGAATAAAGGGTGATGGATCTCAGGCTAGTTTCATTAGATCCTATGACTTCACAATCATCATCTTTGGCTCAATATCCCACTTTCCAGGAGCCTTGGGTTGGCAGCATCACTGCTCCCTCTGCCACCACACACACACACACACACACACACACACACACACACACACCCCTCTGCAGTGGCAGCCCTGCCCTCTGAAACCAGGAGGAAACAGACTTGCCCCTGGGCCTGTGGTCAGAGCAGCAGCCCCGATGATCTCTGAGTTGCCTTCGGGTGGTGCATGTTTACAGCCAGATGGCTCTATGGTCCGGTTCTGTGGAATCTAGGAAGTCCAACACCTGCCTTCATTCTGTCCTGTTTTCTGTGTCTTCTTGAGTTCAAACTGGCAGTATTTTTGCTGGTATAACCCCATCCCTCTTCCTGGCCTCTGTTGAGATGGCTGATTAAGTCTAGGAGTTGTACCCATCCCATGATCTCTTTATCAGACGGTTGTCCAGTTATATCTTTAGTGCTCCCTTCAGAACAAACTTTCTCACTTTCTGCAATATAGGTAGGCTGAGAATTTCCCAAATCTTCAAGTTTTGGTTCCTTTTTGTTTAAAGATTCCCCTCCTCCTCCTCCTCCTCCTCCTCCTCCTCCTCCTCCTCCTCCTTTTTCTTCTTTGTGCCCCTGGCAGGAACTGAACCCAGGACACTCTGGTCCGCAGGTCGACGCTCAACCACTGAGCCAAACTGGCCAGGGCTAAAGATTCTTTCAATGCATCTCCTTCCTCTTGCATTTTACTATAAGCGCTAAGAAGGACCCAAGTTGTACCTTCAATATTTTGCTCTAAAATCTCTGCTAAATATATAGTTTCATCATTTGCAAGTTCAGTTTCTATAAAAACATAACACAATTTAGCCAAGCTCTCTGCCATTTATAACGAGGGTCGCCATCCTCTGGAGTCTGGGGCCTCTGCACCAAATGCATGTGGAGACTCACTGCCCTGCACGGCTCTTCCCTCAGGGAGCTGGGGCAACCATTGCTGCTTTTCCCATTTTAATCAGTAATACGACTAACTACTCTCACCTGGTGCCCCATTTTGTCTGCACGACAACCCTGCGTGGTGGAAGACTCTCTTGGTTTTCTAGGCCTGCCATAGCAAAGTGCCACGCACTGGATGGCTTGAACATCAGAAATGTATCTGAGATCAAGAGACCAAGGTGTGAGCAGGGTTGGTTTCTTCGGACGCCTCTCTCCTTGGCTGCAGGTGGCTGTCTTCTCCCTGTGTCTTTACACGGTCTTCCCTCTGAGTCAGTCTGTCCATATTCCCTCTTCTTATAAATCTACCCATTCTATTGGATTAGGGCTCACTCATATGAACTTATTTTTAAAATTCCTTAAGTATTCATAATTTTTTTGAAGACCCTACCTCCAAATAAAGTTACATTCTGAGTACTAGGGGTTAGGACGTCAATATAGAGACTTGGTGGGGGCAGGGAGAGCACTGTGGCCCTTCCTTTACCGCTGGAAAGTGAGACCTGGAGGTCAGAGTCTTTCCTGAGGCCACATTGTCATTGGACGGAGACTGCAACCCCAGGCCTTAGAGTCCCAGTTCTCTTTCCGCAGCAGACCCTGTCACAGGGTTGGCTGGACCTCCATTCATTGGGAGTGTGGGGCCTTCAGGAGAGCTACACTTAGAATGTATCAGTGATCTTGCTTGGAAAGCAATCCTTCCTGTATCTCCTGCCTTCAATTGGATTCCCATTCCCCTAAAAGTAGACCATGATTTGTAATTTTCCCCGGGGAAAGGAAACACCAACAGGGAGTGGGAAAGCGATGCAGGGAAGGAGGTGGCCTGTGAAAGATGCATGACTGAGCAGGTTACTGCTGTGGGCAGCTGGGGCTCCGTCCTGCTGAGGCACTCTGGGCGACTGTGTGCAACATGCCACAGAGGCGTCCTCCCAACACCTAGGATGAGGGATCCAGGCTGCTTATCCACTAACTGGTCATTGGTTGAGAGCTGCCCCCCTGGAGTGTCAGTTCCTCCAGCATGTCCAGCATACCCTGGAGAAGGCCGTTGGTAAGTACCACAAATTACCACAAACTTAGCAACTTAAAACAACACTTTTATCATCTCACAGTTTCTACAGGGCAGTAGTTGAACCCGAGCATGGCTTGGTTGGATCCTCTGCTTCAAAGTCTCTCTCAAGGCAGAAATCAAAGTGGCAATCTGGGCTGGGGTCTCAGCTGAAGGCTTTGCTGGGGAAGGATCTGGCAAGATGTCACCCTCAGTTCCTTGATACATAGATTTTCCTAACATAGTTATTTGCTTAGTCAAAGTACTCAAGCCAAGAAAGCGATCAAGAGAGTCAGCTAGTAAGATGACGAATCTTATGTAATGCGATCACAGAAGTGACATCCCATCCCCTTTGCTGTATTCTATTAGGAGCAACTCACAGGTCCCACCAGCACCTAAAGGAAAGGAATTACACAGGGCATGAACACCAAGAGGTGGGGACACTGTGGGTGTCTGTTACACTGCCATCTGTTCTCTTTACAAATTATTGCTGGCCAGAAACACTTTTGTAAAGAGATTTAGAGATTAGAAATAATTTATTGCAAATCAGCCAGAAAATCTAATTTTAAACTGGCCACTGGGAGCTAGCCAAATGTGATTTTCTGGGTGACATGGAGTCTCCTATGCTTTCCTGTCCCTGTTAAAAGCCAGGCATGTTAGACTGTCTGCAGTGGGAACTCCAAATACTAGGGATCTTCCCCGCACAGCCTGTGGAGCCAAATACGGTGATAGTTTCTTTCATTGGATTTCAAAGTGAATTTGGACTTAAAGGAGAAAGAAATTCAA